TATCAATAGTAAATAGCCATTTTTGGAAAATTATTGGTAGCACAACCTCTTCCAAAAATAAATTCTATCTGTGATAATATACTATGTGACGTTATGTATATTAAATTGCTAATGTATTATAATTTGGTGAACAATYCACCTTCAACACTTTCATTCCAAAGAAGGAATAATATATTTTAACGGTATGAGGTATGACTAATTAGCTAGGATTTTAATTTCTTTACACTTTCTATTAAGTTTTTGGGAATATTATATGCAGTAGTGTTGGAGCTAAGGCTGAAGGAKGATTTTCATTTTTTCTACATTTATGTATTATGTACCATCAACAATGATTTAAAATTTGATTTGAAATACCTWATTAATGCACAAGTCTATTACACTGGAGTTGTCAGTTTTAACACTTTAAAAGTTTATAGGGGCCTGTCCAGTTTTTTCAAGTGGGCTAATATGGAAGGTATCATAGTGATATAATTACTTTTTATGGTTAATATAAATTTTTACAAATAATTTAAGGTATACACATTACACATACATACATTTTTTTATACTTTAGWTTAATATTTCAGTAGAATTTCGGTAATTCGGCTATTCGATAATCCGGTATTATTTTTCTAAGTAGTAACCATTACAAGCTATTTTAAAGATTTTGCGCCATATAGTTAAATCTATATAAAAATTTTAAAATATTAAATTGAACACGGCATGTTGCAGTTATATTATACAAATAGTTTTCTACGACTAATTAGATATTAAATCAAAAATAAAAATAAAATATAATTACACTTTTTCATTTCAGATTAAAAAAAATGTTATCACTGTATCGAGTTAAATTCGATTACTTCGATGTAATTTTAGCAAAAACTACTAGTCCTACTTTGGCTACAACATTGTCATATTTCAATTCTCTATTAGAACACACAGCTTCCAAGGGTAACATAATGCTTTGTTATGCTTAAGATAATCATCTATATAATATATATTTTTTTTCTCATAAATATATATATATTGTATATACAATACTTATGAGAAAAATTACTTCTATATACTCTGTATCCTATATGACCTGTGTTTTAACAAAATTGCTAGAAAAATAATTACACGTTGTATGTATTTTAGCCAATAAATCATTATTATTTATCATTCTGATGATTTACGTAATAAAATAATCAACTATCCGAAAACCAAAAATTACTTTTTATAAAAACATATATTTATTTTCCAGATTTTGGTAATAGCAATTTAGAAAAAGAACACATYTCTAAAACGTTGTTTTTAAGAGATTCAATTAAATTGCATTCAATTAATTCTGAACTTATCATCTTGTAAGTATAATATTAATGTTTGTTGTTATCCGAAAGATTAATTTTATAAAAAAAAACTCTTTTAGAACGGCGCCAAAAAATAACGAAATCAATTTATTGTTCATGTGTTGGATAGAAACGATTACTAGAGGGTTACCACCGTGTCTTATTGTCAACGGGTGTTCAGGCCCAGTTCTTGCCATCGATGCTTAAACCATAAATATAATTACTATATAATATGTACGYACTCGTGAATTTATTTTCATATTAATACAGATTTCTAGTAAGCAGTTTTTTTGTTATTATTCGTGGCTAGATTATTGAGCCAAAACTATTAAGGTCCAATTTTTGGTTTCAAATATAAAGTTCTCAAAAGAATTATTTGTAATTGTTATTTTATAACATGCTATAGAAATGATATGTTGAATTCAAAAAAAAAACTGTTACATTTGCACTTCTTAGAAACGACGAAGTCAAAAATATTACAATTTTGAGAGATTTTTGATGTGTCTAAAAAAAAAGAAATTAGTTTTTYCATAAATACCTATTTTTTCACATAACCGGTGATTCCACTTACCAACTCATAAAAAAAAACTTTTATTTTGGTATTAACACTATGTAATTTTATACTTTTAAATGAAAAATTATTGATAAAAT